ATAAAATTAAAAGAATATTATTGGACTCCATTTTTTTTTTGGTGGAACTGGGGATTGAACTCAGACCCTTGAGCTTGACCGAGAAGCACTTATTCTACTGAGCCATCTCCCTGGCCCCAGGACCCCATTTTTTTGAAAGACAGGAAATTCTAGGTTTATGTTGCAAAACTTATATCATAAAATCATTCTTATCAGTGTCTGGCTGGATGAGAATATCATGTTTTCTTTTTTTATGTAAAACATTTAATTTAAAAATGTTGACACTACAATATATAAAATAGCTATTATACATGCACATAGTGTCGTCTACAGCTGCTAGGTTTACTGTTTTTTTAAGGAAACTGTAAGTTACACTGTGGTTAAGACCTGTACCTCCACTCTTGCAAACGCCCACATTCTACCGCAGTGATGTACCGTGAGACGTACCAGCCCCACTTGTTAAACACTTGGGTCAAGTCATCACCAGTTTTATTGCAAAAGGACCCTGTACACGTTTATCAATTCTAGTACCTTAATAGCTACCCAACAGGTCATTAACATACAGAAAAATGCCTCATGAGAAGCAAGACGTATCCCCCATCCCCTGTGCATCTTAGCACCTTGCCTCTCCTGAGCAACGGCACTCACATCAGCACTCACATCACTGAGGTCCGTAACAGTCACTTTTCACATTCATCCTGAGTGAAAGATGGAATGACTTATGTACAAATGCAACATATTATAAACAATTTCTTCCCAAAAAAAGTCACAAATTAAACCAAAGTACTTTACAGAATTTACTACACAACGCCACAAAAACTGCCTTCACTTAAGCTCTCTCTCCCCGTATCCGGCAGGCCAATTGGATGGTTTTGGGCATGATGGCGACTCTCTGGGCGCGGATGGCACACAGATTGGTATCTTCACATAAGCCCACCAGGGGTGCTTCACTAGCCTCCTGTCAAGGACAAGAACCACACCATTAACTCCTTTGGAGAGGAAGCCACCCACGCTGCGCCCACTCCCACCTACAAAGCCTTGTGAGTCCCCTTACCTGAAGGGCACCAGTGGCTGACTCTGAAACCTCAAGTCGGTTTTGAAATCCTGGGCAATCTCTCACCAACCTCTGGAAAGACAGCTTTCGAATGAGAAGCTCAACCGATTTCTGGTAACAGTGAATCTCTCTAAGCGCCACGGTACCAAGCCTGTAGCAATGAGTTTCTTCACCCCGCCAGTAGAGGGGGCGCTTTTCCTGGCAGCTTCAGTGGCCAGCTCTTAGCGGGCCTTTCCCACCAGCTGACTTACGAGCAGTCCGCTTAGTTCGGGCCATTTTCTTTTACCCCACATAGAAGTCTTAGGTCGCTTTTCCAACCGCCCCGCTGGCCTTCAGGCAAGAGCCACAGTTGACGAAAACAAAAATGATAACTTCTCAACAAACGACCAAACCACTCTGCGCTGTTTTCTTTTTGTCCTTAGAAATACACTGTTTACTCACAGATTCTTGAATCTCAGAACATCTATCTATATTACTATTAGGTAAGACACATGGCCAGAAACTTTCCATATAAAGCCAACTTCGCCACTACCGTCAGAGTACAAAAGGCTGCTGTCTCTGAAGCGATCTTCTGATCTAACAATTGTTTCCATCTGTCAATTTTCTTCTCTTTATAATTTTGTGCAAAAAATGAAATCTTTGAGCCAGGTATTGCAGTGCACACCTGTAATCCCAGCACTCAGGAGGCTGAGGCAAGAGGATTGCTATGAGTTTGTGGCTGACCTCTGCAATCTGTCCCATTAAAAAAAAAAGAAAGAAAACATCTGTTTTCAAAACTGTATTAATCAAAAGCAAAAATAATGTATCTCATAAACATGTACAATTTTTGTAGCAATTAAAAATAATGAAATTAAACAAAATCCATATACAAGTCAAACATGGTCATTGTAAAAAGAAGACTAAAAAGATGGTGTCTTTTTAAAATTTATTTTTATTAGTACATGTTTGCACTACATGATTATATACATTCCTTTTGGGGGATTTGTGTGTGTACATAACATCACAATTCTCACATTCTCTTTCCCTCCCTACCTCCCTCCCCCTTCCTTTGCAAAAGATTGATCTCCCAGTTCCTTATTGTCTCTTTTATTTTGCTCTTAATTTGTTTATATTTTGGGTTTCTTATATATGAGAAACCATGAGCTATTTAAGTTTGTACAGCTGATTTATTCCATGTAACATTACCACCTAAAGGTGCGTCTATTTTCTTACAAATGACTTGTTTATCCTTCTTTGTAGCACGAGAGTACTCCACTGTGTACAAATAATTTTCTTTATTCATTCATCTGTTGATGTACATATAGGCTGTTTCCAAGTATTAGCTGTTATAAATTGTGCTGCTGTTAAAATGGGTACACAGGAGGCCTGCCCCATAGCTCAGTTCTTTAAGTGGCTGCTTCAACAAAGCAGTCAGGCTCAGGTTGCTGTGGTTCGATCCCCACAACTCAAGCCAGCCAAACCTGCCCTGAAGGCATTCAGAGAAAAAAAAATCCTAAAATGGGTACATAAGTATCAAGGTAACATGATATCTCTAACTCTTCCCGGAACATCCTGAGAATGAGACTATCTAGGTCAATGGAATTTTTGAAGAATCTCCATTCTGATTTCTATAGTGTTTGTACTAATGTACATTCCAACGAAGAGGTAGAAGGGTTCCTTTCCCCCGCATCCTTGCATCTGTTATTACTTGATTTTTTTGATGTTAGCCGTTCTGCCTGAAGTAACCTGGAATGTGTTGTTTTGATTTACATTTCCTTAATGGCCAGAAATATTGAACATTTTTTCATTGTTTCCAATCTGTGCGTGTGTGTGTGTGTGTGTGTGTGTGTGTGTGTGTGTGGTATTGGGGATCAAACTTAGAACTGCACTTGCCAAGCAGGCACTTGCGCCACTAAGCTATCTCCCCAGCCCTTGAACATTTTTTTCAAACACTTACTGATCATTAGTACTTCCGAGAAGTGTCTGTTCATTTCAGTCATCCATTTCTTGATTGATTGGGTCTTTTATTTTATGGATATCTTTTTTGAATTCTTTATATATTCTCATATTAGTCTTCTGTCTAAGGAATAACTAACACAAATATTTTTTTCATTCTTTAAGTTATATCTTCTCTCTAGTGAGTGTTTTGCTGGCTGTGCATAAATTTTCAATTTTGTAGAATCCCACTTGTTGGTCTTGATGGTATTTCTTGTGCTACTGTAGTTTCATTCAGAAAGCCCTTGCATAGGCCTATGTCTTCAAAAGTTTGACCTGTTTTATATTTCAGTAGACTAAGTGCTTCTCCCTTATTAATTAGATCTTTGATCCATCTTGATTTTAGTTTGGTGTATGGCGAAGTAAATGGGCTTCGCTTCAGTCTTCCGCATGCGCATGCCCAGATTTCACAGCACTGCTTGTGAAAGAGGGTATCTTTCCTCCAGCAGAAGTTTGGGGCTGAATATGCCTGAGGTTGCTTCAGCCCTTTGTCTTCTTTTATGCCTTCTTGAGAGATGGTGTAACACTCTGGACAATGTAATTAAAAAATGGGGGGGTGATGCAATAGTGATGGTGAGCCTCATTATTGCATCATCCTTAGAGGTAATTCCATCATTCTTCCACTTCCTTTTCTTAGTGATTTTTATCAAAATTGCCAATAATTGAGGAGTGGTCATAAAATGTTTCTTAGGGCGATTGAATGGAAATTTTTATGTAAGAAAACTAAAATCACTAAGGTCCTCTGATTTGTCCACACACTCACCCATAGATTTATAAATGGTTCCCAAGGTGCTACGTGGTTATTTTAACATAAAATGGGCTTCATTCTACTTTTGTTTAAAATGTGCTCTTCGGTCTTAGAAACACTTCTAAAAATGAGCAGAAGTCATGAAATAGTATTTACAAACAGAACTTCTCAGAAAAATAAAATCTAAATGTAGAACTGTGATCAAATACTCAGGGTTAAATTTCATTAATGGATTTGGCCATTTACCAAAGATTTTCAAAACCTACTTCCTTAGAAACTACACACACACACACACACACAGACTCTTTCTTTGCCCAGTTGAAATCTAGCAGTTCTCAGAGCAAAGCTGAAACCCAGTCGAGGAAAGTATGGCAGAACCCACCACACGATGCTGACCTCTGGGCTCAGCCAGCTTCCTTAGTGGAACCCAGGCAGCCCAGCCCTCAGGATGGCTTCTCCTGGAGATTGCCTCAGCAAACAACGAGAAGCAAAGATTAGGGCCCAAAAACCAGAGAGGGCTTCTGAGAAAAATGCAAGCTTCAGAGCAAGGCGCTACCAATGTTGGCGGGGGTGGGTGACAAGCAGACATCCAACGCTTACTGCCTTATATTCTTTTCAGTAAATGAATTTAGTGTGAGGGATACAGTGTTCCTATTCTCTTAGGCTTTTTTTTTTCTTTTTTGGTATTGAGGATTGAACTCAGGACCTTGCACTTGCCAGGCATGTGCGTACGCTGCTGAGCTATATCTCCAGGCCTCTTTTAAAAATTACTCTTTATCATTTGCATTTCCAGTCAATCCATGAACATTTGGACTATTGATCAATAATACAAAGGAAGGGCCCAACTTCCCACTGTGTTATGTTCCAACACTTTAAGATTGTTCAGGGAACTCGAAATATATTTTCCTCCAAGAAAAAGATATGTATATATAATTGTGTGACCCATGTATTTTGTGATTAAGGGTCTCACTATGCCACCCAAACTGACTTCAAATTCCTGGGCTCAAGCTGTCCTCCTCCTTCACCGTCCCAGGTAGTTGGGACTACAGGTACACGCAACCATACCCAGCTAAAAATCTTATTATAAATTTTAGGTTTCCACACCCGCCCCACAAAAGCCTTCTTAATTCATAATGTTGTTGAAGTTGTTTATTTTTAGAGGGAATGCTAGCAGAAAATAATTTCATAGTATTACTAATAAACAAACCCCAATATTGAAGACTTAGTCTGCTTTATTTTCAATTCTACTGACTGACACAATCAAGTTAATAAGATTAAAAGACCTATAGAGACTGTTCTGGAAGAGCCCTCTTTTTGCAAGAATTTTGGAGGCTTGAAAGCAGCAGCTTGTAATTTTGAATGTCCAATTTCACTCCAATAACTGCGTTTTCGGCCCTGTGGGCATGATACACAGGAGCCATGATTAGGGTAGATTTTGGGGGCTCACAAAGAGAGCAAAGGTTGGAGCGGGTAGAAAGAAAATAAGCTTGAAAGCAATTTCTTTGAGGAGAGAACTAACAGTATATCATTGTGAGAAGGTTACCTAAGTCAATATTAACTAACTTGATGAAGAAAAAGTGAGGAAACTGAGGAAAAGCGACAACCCATTTCTAGTCCTCAGATCCAGAACCAGATAGGTTGTTCGGTCATTTGGTTCCCCTTCTGACCATAAGGTGGCGCCATCAGTCCGGGCAGTCAGTTCAAGTGGGCGGGGCGTACGGTGGGCGGAGCTCTCTATGAGTGAGCCACCTCCTCCACCCAGGTTCTGGGACTCATAGTGTCTAGACTAGACAGCACGTGCCAAGCTACAGATATTGTCCCACAGACAAAACTGCATCCGATCCTTTAAGGCTCCACCTGCTCACACCTGCACAAGAACACCTCTCCTGTTGGACATCGAAACATACATCAAGACTCCAGTTCATTCCTTCCAATTCCCCTCATCGTGTTTCACAGGTCAGCAAAAGGCCTCTAAACTTTTTCCAACTCCTGAGGAGAATCTAGTGAAAGAGGAGATCACATTCTCATCTTTAAATATCCATCAGGATGAAAAAACAAGCTCTTCCATGGTAGAGATTTTTCACAATGGCTCCATCTAACAACATTCCTCAGTTGAACTCCCCAGATTGCTTGAACACCAACTGGACAAACACTTCTCCTGAGGCAAATCGCATTGCATTTCCTCCTACACTTATTTTCAGCCTTACCACAGGCAACACCCACTCTCTTTCGCTTGCCTCAGTTTTGTTACTGTTGTATTCTTTTGTTCCATCTTTCAAGATATCACCCAAATACCCCTTCTTCAAAAGCTTCCCTCTGGATTGGGGACATAGCTCAGCGGTCTAAGCACCTGCCTGGCAAGCGCAAGAACGGGGTACTGCATGCCATACCATGGCCCTGGCGCTGAGCTAGCCACTGAAACTGGGTGTGGTGGCGCATGCCTGTAATCCTAGCACTGAGGAAGCTGAGACAGGAGGATCACTGTCCTACCCGTGTAGTGAGACCCTGTACCAAATAAACAAATAAATACCTTCCCACTTAGACGGGAGTTAAATGATGAAGTGGATTTAAAGAAGATGCAGGGCCCCATGCCTCAACCCCAAAAGCTACTATTGTCAGTCACAACATGGCAGGCCATGACTGCCTCTTCACAGTTACATGGCCTCAGTGGGCAAGAGGGCCCAACTCTCCGCCTACCCTCAGGGCAGGAGATCTGTCTAACTGATCTGTCTTCCTGCTTCTCACAACTCGAAGTTACGGTGTCCTTCAGGTCTTGAAGGACCGTCTCAAACTCAGCAAGTGACACAGTGCCTGTCCTCAATCATGTTACTTTAAAACAGTATTCTTACTGCTGCCTCCCTCTGCCCACTCACATCAGCCAGTCTGCTGTGCCAGGCTGTAACAGAGCCAAAGCCATCAGCCGGAGGACAAAGAGTCCCCAAGAAACTCATCACTGTGTGCACCCCAGCCCTTCTCCTTCCCTGGGCCTACAGCTGAGATGAGTAGCCCCTGCAGACAGCCCAGGGTTTCTGCAGCATTCTCAAGGCCGTGGTGAGACTGACCGGACTGCACATTCTCAGCCTTGGCTAAGTGGTCCAGAGGTAAACCTTTAAGAACAAGAGCCTGTGTTCACAGCACCTCAAATGCTAGCTACAAGCTGTTCTTTTCATTTTAAAGGGACAGTGTGCTCAAGCAAGAACCATTTATGTTCCTTGGCAAATTGCTTTGTAAAGGCTAATAGCCTCAAGATGAATTTTTAAGTGATAGGTCCTCTGAGAGTAGGCCAAGGAGGCAAGGGTGGAACCTAACACAGGCAGAGAGGAGACAGGTACCAGTCACCACCATCTGCCAGCAACTGGCAAAGCTGGGCTTGTTCCTATCCCCTGGGTCTCCTATTTGTTTCTCAAAAATAAAAGGGACCCTATACCTTTTTAATGAGAACACCCATACTCTTGGTGTTTTCATCTGCAAAAGAGACCAGATGGATAGAAACAACTCGGTTAACATCTGTAAGCAAGACAGAACAAATATCCACTTGGCCTCAGGAAATTTGGGGCTATGAGCAATTAGGCTAAGTTAGAATGTTGTGGTGGTGTTTTCTTGTTTGGCTCTTAAGGATGGCAGGAGCTGGTTCTTCTTAAATAAGGGACGCTAAATTGAGTAAGGCGGCCAGTGAGGACGCCAGTATTCGCCTTGAAAAGCTCTGTATCTGTGGGAGCTGACTGCAACCGGGAGCACGGACATGAGTGCTCAGTTTCTTGTTACCTCTGCAGATTCAGGCTGAAGTGACCATTCCCTTGGAGCTCTAAAATATGCACAGATGCAGTGGACAGCGGTTCTTGGGTACTCCGGCCCCTGGAAAGCTCACTCTGAAAACACACGCCCCATCTTCCTTTGCCTTTCTCCTAATTGAGGTCTGCTCCACGCGAGAAGGTAGCCGCAGCTAGCGACGATCACCGGGCCCTCAGCTTCCCCTGGCCCCAGGAAAGAAAGCCTAAGCCAAGCAGACTAAGGATGACCTGCCGGAGTGTCTTAGTATCCCCTCCCCCAAGTATGTCACATGGTCGCCCCAATAAACGCGGCAGTGCGCCCCGCCGCGGAGACCCAGGGCTGCGTCGCCTCCAGCGGTAGGTGATGAAACCTTCCTGGCACATTACTGCAGAGGGCGCGGGAGCCAAGGGGGCGGGGGTGTGTGAGAGTTGAGAGCTGGTACCCGGGCTCACCTGTTCTCCCAGAGGAGGGTGGGGACTGCGGGGGAGGGACGAGGGCGTGCCGACACTCGGTGCGCGCCCCAGGGGCGCTAGGTTGCAGCGCTCGCCTCGCTGCCCTCCCCCACCCAGCTACCCCCTAGAGCTGCGCCGTCGGGTTGACTAGGCCAGGAGCAGTTCCTAGCCCCGGCCGGTTGCGAGGGAGACGTGAGCGTGCACACGTACACACACAGCAGGGGGAAAGGCGCTCCAAGCGGCGCCCAACTTTCTCCTTGCTTCCTCCAGCCCGGGTGCAAGCAGCTGGGGGCAATCTAATCCTGGCAGTGCTTAGGGAGGGGGCTCCCACAGAAAAAGAGAAGAGATGAAGAGCATTTCCCCGAATTTTGTTTTTCTGTTTTTTTGTTTTTTTGTTTTCATTTCCATTCCAAGACTAAAGAGTAAAGGGAGCCCCGAGCCGGGCGGGAAGTAGCACTTTGAGAAAATGGAAGAGTATATTTGGAGACGCCTAAAGTTGCCTTTAAGCTCGGCCTCGGGGTACGCCAGGCTCCGCAGCGGGCTTATCTAGGGCTGCGTGGGCCTCACTGCTGCCCGCCTTGAAATGATGCAAGACTGGATTGTCACCTGGATCCCTGCAGCCCAGACTGCACTCCATCTGTAGTGGAAGAGGGCAAATCACGACTTCCACGCTGTCACAGGGCCCACCTAAAAAAAAGCAAGAAGAGGGGGCAGTAGTTCAGGCCAAATACTTTATTAAGTACTTCGGCTCCTATCTTCAAGCCGGTTTTGTTTGCAATGCAGAACTCCGGGACGCCAGGAATTTCCATACGTGCATCCCCGCCCACACTATCCCGGGTATCTGTTCTAAACTATCCAGGCCACGAGGCTAAAATCCTCAGTGAATTCCAAAAACTGGTGCTAAGAGAAAACTTTTCCAGCCGGATGCGAGTTTAGTGCTAGCCAAGGACCCGGGAGTCCCAGCACAGACCGTCCTCTTTGTAATTGCCACTGAGCTGGGATCTGCTTCGGTATTTTTGAAGTGCATTCAGCCATTGCCCTGGGGCACCCGCACACGCTCACGCATCTCTGGCCACACACACACACACACACACACACACACACACACACACACACACACGAACGCGTGACCGCCGCCAGGTCTGCAACTTTGTGGGCGCTCCCAGCCCAGCCCGGCTTCCTCGCGTAGTAGTTAGACGCAAGCCCCGCCTCCTGGCGCTGTTGTCAAACGGGCTGGGGTCTCGGATTGGTCCAGCCTCCGGGACAACACCTGCTCGACTCCTTCATTCAAGTGACACCAGAGCTTCCAGGGATATTTGAGGCACCGTCCCTGCCACTGCAGAGCACTCGCGGCACGGCTAACGGCCTGGTCACATGCTCTCCCGAGAGCTACGGGAGGGCGCTGGGTAACCTCTACCCGAGCCGCGGCTGCGAGGAGGAGGGAAAAGGCGAGCGAGGAGGAAGAGTGGGAGGAGGAGGGGAAGCGGCGGAGAAGAGGAGGAGGGGAGCACAAAGAATCCAGGTCTCCCGGCGGGAGGTTTATACGGAGAACCATGTGTGCCGAGAGGCTGGGCCAGTTCGTGACCCTGGCTTTGGTGTTAGCCACCTTCGACCCGGTGCGGGGCACCGATGCCACCAACCCACCCGAAGGTCCCCAAGACAGAAGCTCCCAGCAGAAAGGTCGCCTGTCCCTGCAGAACACAGGTAAATGCATGCGCCCCTGCAGCCAGGAGCTGCTGCGAGAGAACACCGTGCACGGCGCAGCACACCTCGGTTGTTTCGCCCAGAGCCCGGTGCCCACCACGGCCCGGTAAACTCTTAGTGTGGCGCGGGTCATGCAAAAGGAAGCACGAGGCGAAGCGTGGTTGCGCCGGGCTCGGAGCGCCCGGAATCCGCACGTGCTAGCAGGGTGATGAAATGGCTGGGGCAGGACTTGTTGCTGTCCTCCCCCGGGGTTGAGGGGAAATAAGGCAGGGCCTGACGCTGCCAGGCCATCCCGTGCGGAGCGCACGTCTCCATCCAAGCTAACCATGGCAGGCACGGAGGGTCCCCGGAGCTAGGCTTAGCCCTGCACCCGGAGACCACCTCTTCCGAGCTGGCCAGCCTAGACAGGACAGCTTCTCCCCCTCCCCAAAAGATGCAGCGCATCCCAAAACTTTGCTCGCGAGACAAATTGCATCACGTACTCGCCCCTTGGGGGACACTGCTTTTGAAAGGGGGAAAGGGCGGCGCAAAGCGTACCTCACTGTGCTGCCGCCGTCCCCTGCTTCTGGGCAGGTCAGCAAGCGAAGGAATGGTGACACGACCCGAACTGTGCGCCTCCTGCTCGACTGCCTCTCTGCTCTCCGGCAAACTGCAAAGCAGAGCCAGGCGCGCGGGACACGGGGCTGGCCCTTTTCCCAGAGCTGGGGAGAGAAAGAAAATCTGCCTACAGCTCAACTCCTTCGTTCTGCGCCCACCCCCAACCCCACCCCCGCGGCCTTTTGAGGGGGCCGTGCGAACGCTGCGGCTACAGAGTGCGTGCGCTCACTGCCAGAGCAGGAACAGACGAATGCCCACGAGGAACGCCCCTAGTGAGTGGGTCGCGGGACGGCCTGCGCGCCGGGGCCGCGTGTGGTTCAGCCCAGAGGCGCTCAACTCCACGCGCCGAGTCCCGGACCCGCGTGGCCACGCTCCACCCTAAGACCCTCACCACCCTTCCCCCTCTCTAGCTCTTGCTCTAAAAACTGACCGTGACTCTCTGGAGTTGTTGACCCTCAACAAACACACGCCTCTCATTCTCTCGCTAGATTTAATCTGAATGCAGATTTTCTACTCCGACCCCGCCCATCTTCCAAAATACACTTTTCTGATGTAATTTGGTAATCCGTTTAAATCAGAGAATCGGGTGGGGGGCTGGGAAGGAAACGAGGTTTCGCACGCGGCAGCCTGACAGTTAACTCCTCAGTCTGTCCTTCTGAGAGATGTATTAGGACCGCATTCTGCGAAGGAAGACAGCACGCTCTGGGGCCACAGGAATTCTAGGGGATTACGTGCTGCCGCGCTGCCTCACACCAGATCCCTAGCTAAAAGGAACCTCTTTAGGCGGCCGTGGCGCTTTACATGGCTAGTCCCCATCCGACTGGATTCCCGAGCTTGCAGGAAAACCACAGCTTCCCTAACCTGGTATTTTTAATGTGGATGGTTTGGAGGCGCTGCTTTAATAGGAATTGTGTTTGATTTTGAGGTGTTGGATCATAATGCTGAATTGAAACAGCATTATGGATGAACTTATTTGGGGGTCGGGGAGGTAAGAGCAGCAGTTTCTCCAGATCCCAGTAGAGAAGAGTACTTCACTGATGAAGTGCAGTCTTCAGAAAACGCTAAAATGTTTTCTGCTTTCAAACTATTCCCACAAATACTTTAATAAAATGGAAAGAATGGGTAGGGGAATACTCAGACCTAAGCTAATGTTTACAAATGCAGTATTTGCAAATATCAGAACTTAATATGAGTAGTATTGAATGAGATTGTGTTTTCTTCATTCATTAGACCCTCAAAAGTCATTACTTTCTTCCCCTTAAATTTGCTTCCAGTCCCTACTAACTTTTATTTCAACTGACCTCCTTGCATTTTGCAGCCTGGCTGAGTGTTTCATACATATATATTTGTATGTAATTTTCATTTTAGCGGAGATCCAGCACTGTTTGGTCAACGCAGGTGATGTAGGGTGTGGCGTTTTTGAATGTTTCGAGAACAACTCTTGTGAGATTCGGGGCTTACATGGAATTTGCATGACTTTTCTGCACAACGCTGGAAAATTTGATGCCCAGGTAATAATCACCTAGAGCGTGAAGGCTTTGGGGTTAGCATAGCATGATTAAAATAAAACGGTCACTGAAAAGACTTGTTAACAGATTTCTTTGGCTGTTCTTCATGGCATTTTAGTGCCTGCTAGAGATAACTCTTGGTCTGTAGCAGGATGCCAGTGTCTCCCCATTGCTCTCTGGAGCTGTTGTGTGTACTAAATCCTTCTACACCCTGTTTTGTTTTGTTTTGTTTTGTTTTGTTCTGTTTTGAGATGGGGTCTTGTTCTGTAGTTCAGACTAGCTGGGAACTTGAGGCAGTCCCCCTGCCTCCTGAGCACTCTGAATACAGGCATTTGTCACTGCGCTCAGCTTCCTTCTACTCTTAACCTATTTCTACACAGGCACAATAGACTGGAACATCAAAATATAGTAAATTATAAACATCTCAGAAGAGGCCATATTATGTCTGGGCATCCAGAACACAGTCCCCAAAGCCTATCTCATTAGAAACAGTAGGCAAAAAGGGCAGGAATTCCCCTCTTCCACATTCCACTGAAGAGCTTTTTACACCTACAAAGGCATCTGTCATCTAATATACATGAGGACAAGCAACCTAGATAATTCAAGGCCTCCAAAAGAGTAGACACTTATTCCTTATGAGTAGCAGATTCTTCTTTCCCAACCTGAAAAGTCAAAGCCTTGAATATGTGTTGGAATTCCATATTTTCTTTTGCTGCATATAATAAATACAGTCTGGGCCTGATTCATTTCAGACATCCCTGGGTCCCCAGGGTAAAGCTCATTGCTCCTCAGGGCAGAGCAAGAACCCAATAAGCAATCTGGTGGCTTTGGTGCCAAGAGCCCAAGTACATGTTTTGATATTTTTTGGCATTAGGCTCACCTTTATTTTCTCCCTGGCCCTATATGCCCTGTGGAAACCCCTGTTACTATATCTGATACATTTTCCTTCCCATTTCATTGGTGAGTGATGATGTTTGGAAAGGCCAACAGTTGACGTGTGATTTGGGCTTATCGCCCTCACCATCCACCGACATCCTGTAGAACCTGACAAAGCAATGCCTGGGAACCAGAGGGATCAGAGGATATGAGTTGGCAGATGGGGAAACAGAAACCCAGGAAGGGAAAAAGGTAGAACTTTGAACTCCTTGAGGCTCTCAAAGCGTCCTTTCTGGATTAACTGGAATTAGGAAACATAATAGGAAATCCAAGGAAAGATGTGTATTGAAGGTCAATCCCACAAGATGCCGGGGAAGAATACCAAGAACAGACTGGCATAGTCCTTGCATCAGTTAATCTTCCTATCCCATCCCCAATGAACAGAAATATGTTCTGAAGTTACATGCATCTCTTTCAAGTTCATTCTCAGCACACAACTGCTTAATAAATTGACACCCTCTGTCCTCCATCCCATTTGGCTCCAGTGGACAGTTCTCAGGGAAGGGGCACTGAGAAGGTGACTGTACCACATGGGTTGTTAGCCATCAGATGTGATTTGCAGGTATTTTGATTGCTTTCTAAAGGGAAAACCAAAATAAGTGTGCTGGCTGGCTCCCCTTTTCCAACCTAAACCCTTTTACTTTCTCAACTCAGTGACTTCTGTGCCTGTCTTAAAAACAGAGGGTGACTTCTCCAAGGATAGCTCAATTCTATAGTAATAGAGGTGTAAGGATTCTGGGTAGGCATACCATAATGCCTCTGGGCCATGAGAGGTTGATAAGGGAGCAAAGGCAGAGCTGCCTCCACACCCCAACAGCTGTCTCCTTTCTAGGATAAGCACAGTCTAATAGGGTTGCCAGGAAAGAGAACTGCAAGCCAGATGTATGCTTGGCTGCCTTGGCCCCTCGGAGCAGGGCCGCGGGGGAGGGGTTGTCAGCTGGGTACTCTAGCTCAGATGCTGCCAGGCTGGGTGCCAGGAAAGCCTTTTAGAGGCACTAATCCTAACAGTTTAAAGGAGTAGAGTCATTTTTGGAAAGGCAAAGAATGTGCCTCCTTGAAGGATGGGAGATGACCAGAGTATAACCCAGAGGCACTAGGCAGAAAGGGGAGACTCCATGAGCACATCATCTAGGTAGACTCGTGGAATTGAAGGAGGAGAGGGAAAAATGTTCCATTTGGACAAAGAGGCACCTCCCACTGGGGAAGAACTCTTGCTGGGAACAACAAAGGAGTTATGGCCCAGTTCCCCTGGTGTTCCGGAAAAGTTGCCACTACACAGCCAACACTGGGCAGCCTTGAGGACAGTCAGCCACGGAAGCCCCAGTTCAAGGAAAACGAAAAGTACAGCTGCAGAGGAAAGAGGTGGATTTGTTAGTGTATAGAACTAACATCCTTTTTGGCTCAGTGCCAGAGGTATCGTGTCACTCTAAATGCAAACTAATACCTGGGAGGCCTTCAGCCTGAGAAGGGGCCCTGGGGTTGTATTGTCAAGGAAGGGGGGAAGGAAGGAAGGAAGGAAGGAAGGAAGGAAGGAAGGAAGGAAGGAAGGAAGGAAGGAAGGCAGGCAGGCAGGCAGGCGAGCAAGAGAAAGGAAAGAAGGGAGGGAGGAAAAGAAGAGGAAGGAAGTGAGAGAAAAGAAAGGCAAGAGAAAAAAGATGGATAAATGTCCAACCATATCACAAAGTCTTCCACTTCTGCCCCTCTCTCTGTCCTCAGGGCAAGTCATTCATCAAGGACGCCTTGAAGTGTAAAGCCCATGCTCTGCGGCAGAAGTTCGGCTGCATAAGCCGGAAGTGCCCTGCCATCAAAGACATGGTGCTTCAGTTGCAGCGGGAATGCTACCTCAAACACAATCTGTGCGCAGCCGCACAGGAGAACATCCGGGTCATAGTGGAGATGATCCATTTCAAGGACTTACTGCTGCAGGAGTGAGTACCCTTAGAACCTTGTCTGACTGGGAAGCTGGGCATGGGAAGATTGCTCTGGCAAGGGTGGAGCTGGTTGGAAGTGTGTTGCTGTGTCAGGGAGGGGGCCTTGCTGTTGGAGACTGAGCCCCTGTAAAATGGGGAAGGTTGAGCTGAGTCAGAAAGCCACACTAACTCCCTGAGGAATCTTCTTTACTGCTGGGTTTCAACAAAACTGAAAGTGATTTCCATTGCCAATTCTGAAATCACAGGCTACAGAAATAAGATATATCTGAGCATGTGTGTGTACGTGTGTGTGTACACATGCATGTACACCGACAAATACTCTCTGTCTTCCCCTTAAATAAGAACACAGCGAATCTTCCAAGTAGCTGCAGGAGGTGTCTTTACAGAAAGCGGATGCTTAATAACATTAGTTGACTATTTACCAAGTATCAGGCCCTGTGCTGAGTGCTTTATGTTATTTCTTTTTTCCTGTTCCTTACCACAGCCCTTGCAGCTAGATGCCTTACTCAGTTCCATTTCATACAATGTGAAAACTCAGGTGCACTGAGGGTCAGAACTGGTGAGGCGCAGGGACTGACTGGCTTCCACACAATCTGGCCACCGTACCCGTGCTCCTAAATGCCCCAAACTCCAAGCAATACTCTCTGGCTGCTTTTTCTGCCTCTGGGCACTCCTTTTGCTCAGAAAATCCAGCTCACCTTCTCTGATTCATTAATGCCCTGTCAGGAAACAAAGAGCAAAAAAGCATCGAAAACTTTAATCAGCTAAACAGTTCCATGCCAAAACTCAGAAATGTGAACTGAACTTACTCAAAGATTTGAAATTCAGTGATAACACCAAAATATCTCATTTCTTAAAAATTATCCCAGCTATAAAAGCCTACACTGTGCAGGACGGCAAAGCACGTTGGTGCACAACTACCCCTAACGTGATGCACAGTCCACAAATGTTGAAGATTAGGATGACTCCTTCTTCAGAGATGCTGAGAGAAAGTGAGCCACTCGCTAAGCTGACCAGGACATGTTATTGCCAGTATGGTGGCACTATTGTTCTTTCCACAGTGACTCATTGGGCCACATCAGTACCATGTTAGGAATTCTTAGCCTCAGTTCACACCCTGACCTTCTCCCAAGACCCCACTACCTACTCGACCAGTACAACCTAGATCGTAGAGTGCAACAGCCGTCTCCAGTTATTACCCATTTGGTTATAAGATTTTAGGTGTCTTGCAACCCCCCCCCCCCTCCAGATATTGTGTAAGGATTATAAGATTTATGGTGAAGCTCTGCAGGCAGCTCTTGCCAAAAACAAATTATGTTGCCTTTTCTGAGTCATACTAATGCCTTATGAACTATTTTTATTCCTCCAAATACCTATAAGGGAACAATAGCATTAACAACAACAACAACTGTCATTTTTTTGTGTCAGGCCCTACGCCAAGAGATTTACATGAATTATCACACTTGTCTTTCTCAACAGCACTGAGATAGAAATTGCTGTCCCCTTACAGAGGAGAAAAGTGAAGCTAAGAGCTTAAGGAACTTGCTCTGAGGTTTAGTTCCTACTTTTCAACTTGGGAGTTGATGGCATAAAGTTGTCCCTCAGTATCTACAGCGAATTATTCCTGGACCCCACTTGGATATTAAAATCTACAGATGGGGACTGGGGAGAAGCGCTTCCCTGGCAAGCCCAATGGCCTGAGTTCAATCCCCAGTTCTGCCAAAAAAATAAATAAAATCTACAGATGCTCAGTCTCTTACATAAAATGGTGCAGTATGTGCATATAGGCTACATATATACCCCACTTTCAATCACCTCCAGCTTACTTATAGTACCTAATATAATGTAAATGTTTTGTAAGTAGTTGTTATACTATTTTGTTTGGTAATAATGTCAAGACAAAACAGTTTACATATGTTCAGTACAGGAGAATTTCTTCCCCAAACATTTTTGATTCATGGTTGAGGCCCTGGATGTGGAGAAACAACTGTATAGACTAAAGCCAGTTTTCAGGAACAAGCCAGTTGTCCAAAGTCAAGCTTCCTTCTCCCTGGACTGACCTCTCCTTGCTAGACCTACCAAGGCCTCACTGGTCCCCAAATGTAGCAGAGCTTTTTTTTTTCTTTTTCTCAAATATATTCCCAACCTACACAGAAAGTACCATACTTTTTTTTTTTTTTTTTTTTTTTTTTTTTTTTTTTTTTTTTTTTTTTTGCGGTGGTGGTACCAGGGATCAAACTCAGGACCTTGCACTTGTCAGTCAAGCATTTAATCTGCTGAGCTATCTCCCTGGGTCCCATGTACATGTACCTTCTTTCAAGGCACCTCCAGAAGAAACAATGCCCCTCCCCCATGGCTGAGAAACTCCGTGATGTCTATTTGCCCAAGCCCACTCTCCTCCATGCATCAGAGGCAGAGCCAGCCTCCACAGTAGATGGTGTGTGACAGTGCATAAGTCCGCAGTACCTTTTCAGACTGTAAAAAGTCTTTGTATTCTTTTGGAGAAAGTCGTCTTTAGGAAAACTAAAAGTATTAAGTTTATTCCCTCGCCCTTCAGATTTAGGAAGGAGGTAAAGCCCTGTGGCCTTCTCATGTGTCCCCATGAATAGGGGACAGAGAGCTAGGGACCCTTATTCCAAAGAATACTCATGCCACTTAGAATGAGAATGTGGTTCCGTCCCAGCCTGCTCTGGAAGTGCTGGTAGTAGCCCAGCCAGGTCAGAAGTGAGGGCCTCTTTTTTTTTTTTTTTTTTTTCCTGTGTTTTTGAGACAGGGTCTTGCTGTGCAGTTCAGGCTGGGCTTGTCTCACTTTGTAGCCCAGGCTAGTCTCAAACACATGACAATCCTTCTGCCTCTGCCTCCTGAGTGCTGCATGAGGGCCTCTCTTAAGGACACACGATGTACGTGATCAATGCAGGTCCTTTCGTTCCCAGCAGAGGCAGCACCTCTGTTGTGAGTTGAAGCCCACTCCAGCTCCTCTAAAAGACCCCTGACCTGCCCTTTGGAGATCACAGCCTTGCAAGGCATCCACCTGTACTGTAGACTGAATTACCTCAGGGTAGTTTTCCCCTCTTACCTTCTTGACTAAATAAAGTATCCTGTCAATAGCAGACATCAAGAAGGTCATTTCAGAATATGTGGCATTGATCACATATACAAAAATGGGAAACAAATTTGCTTTCCACTTAAGAGAAAGAAAATGCAGCCTTTGAAGAACCTGTAACACCTCAGTCCTCAACCTAATCCTCGTCTGCCTCAAAATATGCACATCAGTGAAAGCGCCCATTTCAATTCTGCTCCCCTCTGGTCCTCTCACCCTTCCTAGCTACCCCCACTTTCTCCTTATCATCTGCCTCCCCCTAGCTGCAGACAGCCTCCCTTGGCTCGCTGTCACTGGCAGTCACCCATGCTCTGGAGCCTTCAGACACACCCCCTCTGGGTGTTTGGTTTGTTCTAATCCTTTCGCCTTACTGATGCCCAGTTGAGGGAGCTGGGCTTTATCATTAGACACGGGTTCAGCCTGCAGCCTGAGAAGGCATCATGCCAGCTTGAAACACAGCTTAGATAACTCACTTTGGCACACACTTGCCTCCTCGCTGTCCACAGCTTCCTAGCTGGGAGTGAGGGCCAGGGGCTGAGGAGAATGTGGTCTGGCCCTGATTTCTGGAGTCCCACTCAGCCTTGGGGTTCTGGAGCTCCGGTAGCAAACAGAACACCCTGGAGAAGACACCTTCCTCTTAGTCATCCTAAAGGAAAGAATCAATTTAGAATCTTCCCAGAAAACATAAATATAAGGTGCTCATCTAGCCCCAGAGGGTACCATAGGTACTAAAGTCCTGTTGCCACTTAACAGATCAGTGACATTGAGCTCCTTGAGCCAGTTGGTAGGATTAAGAAGTATAAGGAAGCTAGGCATGATGGTACATGCCTGTAGTCCCAGCACTCCCAGAAGATGAGGTAGGGTCATGAGGAGGGCACAGCCTAAGAAACTTAGTGACTTAAGCAAGACTCTTTCTCAAAATAAAAAGGACAGTGGATGCAGCCAGGAAAGGGCTGGGGTTCAATCCCAAGAAACCCCAAAAGGAAAAAACAAGGATGCCAACATGCATCACGCATTTTTCTTATGTTACGGTGTGAATGCCTTTAAGGTCGTCAAAAAAGACAGAATTATGCTGTCATGGTCACGGGCAGAGGCCAGCCTTAGAGAGGCTAAGTGCTCTGCACACCCACTATGAACAGACTCTGATCTCAAAGGTATCAGGAAGGCCTTACCCAGCAGCTGGAGCTTCACCAGCCAGAACATTCCTCCTCTCCATTCTCAGCCCAGCCCCAGGCCTTCCCAGGCAGGATGCTCCAAAGGCCACTCAGTCTTCAAATTCATGAAGCAAGGACAGTTCACTCAATTATAAAATTGAGAACTAATCAATAAAAATTGTAGCAAACTGCTTCACGCATTATCCTAAAACACGATCTCCTCTTCCTGCATACTGTGAACTGCCAGCTTGAAAAAAGATCACGTTGACCCTAATGCAGCCATCCAGATAGCCAAGGCCCATGGAGCAGAAAACTTTTGCAGCTTGCCATAGAGCCCACACATTCCACCTTGATTTCCTCTATCAAGGTGATGGCCCAGGGCTTGATGCTTATGTCAAATGTAGCCAGGACTTTTGCTAAGGGCCGCTTACAGAAGTTGGCTAGCCCACTGGAGGCATACTTCAGCATAGAGCGCTTCATAGTGTACATGAGGCCCTGAGTTCCATCCCCAGTACTGAAAAAGAAACAGGCAACAAAGAATGTCAGCTAGCCACAGAAAGCATCCCACCTCAGTCTGGGGATGGTAGAAGGCCAATGAGAATCACAGGGGCTCTACACACCCTTTGCTGGGCATACCACTTGCCCTCATGAATATAAAAGCAGGCGTGTTGCTTCCCACCTGCACACATCTTCCACCCCCTAGGATGAATTCCTCCAGTAGTTTTCCAGAAGAATGGCCTGAGGCAGCCAGATGAGCCCTCCAGAACAAAGCATGTCTGTGTCACAGAGAGCCAGCTCTTACTGAAAACACAAGAGCCCCTCACTTCCAGTGCTGAGGAAGCCCAGACTGAAAGAATGTAGGTGGTCAGACACCCGCTCGCCTGCCTCTGCTACCCAGAGAGGGAAATGACATCCCAGGAAAATGGTCCTCCTGGGCCCCCTCTCCACCTATTCCAGCATCCTCCAGATATAACTTCCCAAAAGATCCTTCGTCATGAGCCTCAGCCAGGGGCAGACACAGATGGGAGAAGTGGCACGTAGGAGCAGCTTCAGTTAGGAAGCCATCTTGAAAGAGTGGCGTCTGGGACAAAACAGGCTGACACCACACACAAAAGGCCATGGGGGAGGGGTTCAAGGCACCCATTTAGGAGCCCTGACTCAAACCCTAAATCCTCATGTCTTCTTTACTGAAAGGACTGCTGAGATTGGAATTCAGAGCCTTCTTCCATTTGCCCAAACGTGCCCCACCGACCCCCGACCCAACCCTTAGGTGCACTTCACCTAGCCCCCATATCCTGGTCGTGTCGGAATGCTGTTGCCCTCTTGTCATTCTCACCACTGCCCTATTCAATGCTCGCCTTCCTTTTTAGTGTCCCAGCTCTAGGACAGTACTAGGCACCTGGCTCTAAAACAGGGTGGCGTGGCAGAGGGGCATCACAGGGGAGAAACAGTTCGTAGCAGGCAGAGGACACGAAGGCAGAAAAGAGGCCACAACAGCAAGTGATAAGCAATAACAATAGCCCTCTCCTCTGTCCCTTATTTCAATCTGGGGTACCCATTCTCAGAGCCAGCAGCACTCACACCTAAGGTGGGGCACCCTTAATCCCATCATCCAACCGTGCCAGCATCAATCCCAGCATCACACACTCTACATCCAGCCATCTCAAGGAAAGCTCCACCTATGACTGCAAGAGGCTTTGGGGGACACCTAGATAGAAGCCATAATGGAGTATAGAAGTGAGAGCCTCCCTGAGCCTGTAACTCCTGCCATGGGCCCAGTTCACATGGACCCTTCGAAAGATGAGGAAAGGCTTTAAAATAGTTCTGCCAAATGCAAACCAAACCCTGACACCATTTCTTCCTGGGCACTGTCACAGCACATCAGGACCCTACGGGACTTATTCCATTCTTAGTCTTTCTCCTTCTGCTTTCAATCTCTAGGCCTTTCGTGGACCTTGTGAATCTGCTGCTAACCTGTGGGGAGGAGGTGAAGGAGGCCATCACCCACAGTGTGCAGGCTCAGTGTAAGCAGAACTGGGGGGACCTGTGTTCCATCCTGAGCCTCTGCACCTCAGCCATCCACAGGCCGGCCACAGTGCCTCCTGAGCACCAGCTCCAGATGGACAGAGCCAGACTCTCCCGGGCCCACCACGGGGAGGCCAGCCACCACTTCTCAGAGCCCAGCAGCAGGGAGAGCATCCGAGGTGCCAAGGGCGAGCGTGGCAGCAAGGGCCCCTCAATTGCCCATGCCCGCAGAGCTGGGGGCCTTGGGGCCCAGGGACTTTCTGGAAGCAGTGAGTGGGAGGACGAACAATCTGAGTATTCTGATATCCGGAGGTGAAACGAAAGGCCCATCCATGAAACCGTTCCTCCACAACGTCCATTTTCTTACCTATGGACATTCCAAAACATTTACCATTAAAGAGGGGGGATGTCACATGCAGGATTTTGTGGGGATTGTGGACTTCGTGAAGGTGTATGAACAGGTGAGACAGCTCCTAAGGCAGCGAGGTCTCAGAGGTGCCTAGAGGATCAGGCCCTCACACATACTCAAGGGAAGCCCCACGTCCTCCTGTAACTTCGTCTTCTTTCCATCCACAGAGCCAGTGGGTGGTGGGCACATGATGCACTCTGTCATGGGGGAGGTGAGGCAGGGAAGGGCAGGTGAGCAGGCAGCCTACCTGGGCTGGACCACACGAGGGGTGTAGGCTCCACCTGCAGCCTTTGTAGCAGACAGGCGTGTGGTTTCCAGGGCAAGAGTGAACAGAAAGTGTCACGAGCAATGCAGGGCAAGGGTGGTAAGGAGGCAGGGGCCACAGGCAGGAGCCACGGCAGTGCTCAGTGCCAAGCTACCTGCACGGGACCTTGCGACTCAGAGCTGCTGGAGGGGGAGGGGGGAGTGTAATTTCTATGTGTAATTTCTGAGCCATTGTTCTGTCTAGGGGACACAGTCTGAGGGATTGGCCCCTGTGTGTTTATATTTTAACCACTGCTTCAAATCTTGATTTCACTTTTTTATTTATCCAATGACATCTACATATCTGTCATCTAAATAAATGACTTTCAAACAAAGCAACTGGGTCATTAAAACCAGCTCAAAGGGGCAGAGTAAACAACCCCAGCCCATCCTTTGCAACTGAATTTTTAAAGTGCAATTTAAGAAGAAAATAAACGGCATTGTACTGACATGGCCTTATATCAACCTGGGACAAACCTCCAGCCTGGAAGGAAACGCATACACGGGGAGTCTGTTTGACGGATTCCCTTAGGCGTTGCTATCTCACCTTGACCCCTAGCCAAGGCCTGGGGAGCACTGTGCCCACAGGCGATCCTGTACAGCTGAGAAGGGAACCTGGCTCCTGCATACTGAAGGACAGAAAGGGAGAAGAGAAAGGACTGCTAAGTATCTATCCAGCAAGGCTAACCTTTAGCATAAATGCTGAAAATCTCTGAGGGACAAGACTTTCCAGATCCTAATTAGATATTTAGCAACAAGGAGGGAAGCCAAAGTGGACAAAGGAAAGCAGAAGACAGAGATGGAACAAAAATGCAAGGCAAGGAAGGCAGGACTTATTAGGCAGAAAGTCTACAGAAGTGGGTTTCTTGCAGTCGCGGTGAGCATCTTAGGCACGCACTTCCTGTGGCTTCAAATTAAAGCTTCCACTACAGCCAGGGCTTGGATAGACTCTGTATTATTGGGAGTGGACAGAAGATCTAGGCATCTTGTTCTTTCTAGAACAAGAGTCAGCAAACGTTTCTATAAAAAGCCAGATAGTAAATACACTGTTGTCACTCTGGCTTGCCATTTGGATCCTGTTGCCACTAGTCGCTTCTGCCTTTCTACCCCAAAAGCATCCCAGACACACAAACCAAAGGGCTTGGCTCTGTTCCAGTAAAATCTTATTTAACAGGCCCCCAGTTGAATTTGACTTCCAAGCTGGAGTTTATTGAGCCTAATTCTAAGGAAGGAGCCAAAACATCTGCATCCTCCCTCTTCTTGACATTCCTTAGCTCTCCTTCAAGCAACCTGAGGCTAGAAACAGAAGCTAATATTTTTCTGTTCTTAACTGATTTTTGCTCTAGGGAATACCTTCACCCCAAACATAGCTAGTGTTCGTGTTCCCCAAATCTGACCCAGTCCCTCCAGAGCCCTTGTGAGAAAGCAATCATTAAGAGGAGGTGGTCAGCAGTTCATCAGGAGAAGCACCTGAAAAGAGCTAGGACTGCAAAGAACTGAAGATCCAAGTGTCTGAGTCACGTCTATCCTGGAAGGGAGGGGATGAGGCCAGGCTCTGCCTTGGGAACCAAACATAAACATGGTCATCTTGTGCCACAGCCCCCCGGAGCACATTGACTTTTTCCTTAAGTCACTCAAAAGCTAAAGCAGAAACACTGTCCCTCATGGCGGGGTTGGCTGCTCGTTTGTCCTCCAGCTCCGGGACTGGATGTGCAAGCGTCTTCCATGTTCGCCTACTGACGTCCCATTCGTGGCGTCTATTGTAAATATTTGTCATTTGTACTTATTCTCTCCATGCTTTCCCCAAAGGCACAAAATTACTTATTATGCTCATTGGTACTCAATGATTGATCTCTTGTTACATATTTTTCACTATCATGAGCTATTTTTTTCCCTCTCAAAAGTCAGAGAACTACCATTTCATTTGGACCCTTCGTGTGATTTGGAAACATACAGTAGTATTTATTGTTCAAAGCTGTCCAAATTCATGTAGATATCAATGGGAGCATGTGCACAATCTAAAATGTAAGCAAAATGGTCATTAAAAAGAGCCCCTCTACTTGGGCTTTATACAAATTCACTCATGAGTCTTCCTCAGAGGAAAGATGTGAATCTCCAAATAAAGATACAGTGCTCACCTTGAGCTTTCCATCTTTGCATCTTAACAAGATGATCTGAACATCTCTCCTTTGTAACAATAAATAGCTCTGTTACTCTATAAGGACAGGATAGAGAATAATAAAATGTTGACACTCAAAACTAAATAGAGGGGCCGGGGAGATGGCTCAGTAGAATAAGCACTTGCCTGGCAAGCCCAAGTGTCTGAGTTCAATCCCCAGTTCCACCAAAAAAAACTAAATAGAAAACACTAGCCCTGAACTGTAGTCATACAGAGAGAGAGAGAGAGAGAGAGAGAGAGAGAGAGAGAGAGAGAGAGAGAGAGAGAGATTTAAACTGGCACTGAATAGAAATGTCACTAACCAATGTGGAAAAATAAAGCTTCCACTGGCTGCTTAGGAAGCACAACCCTGTCTCATCTCAGAATCCACACCACTGAATTTAGTAAATCATAATATGTTTCTCTTATGGATATAGGCAGCCTAGCCACTGTTACACTGCATTATTTTCCTGCAAACATTAATAAAGGTTTTTAATAAATGACTTCTATTTTAGCAGTGTCACTGTCTCAGGGGCTTGGGGGTCTCATGTCAGGAGGAATAGCTGCACAAGCAGGCTCTAGACACTCAGGAGAGCTCTTTGCACATTTGGGACATGAAACTCGTAAGGAGGAAAAACCAGTGCAGAAGTGCCTGGGCTTCCCCATCAGAGCAACCCCCTCCCTGCCCTAGACTGAGCCATCTAGACAGAAGGGATCTGTGGAGCTGGCCTGGAAGTGCCACCCTCACACCCTGTTAGGTTCTTGCAACTTGCTTCCCTCACCTTGGGTGTCCCCTAGTGGCTGGTCACCCAATGTTTCAGGCTGAGCCTGCAGCAGATGCCACGGTTTCATGGCCTAGCGGCCTGCACATACAGGAAGCTCATGCCTTCTCCCCAGTTCTTCCTCATCACTGCAAACCCCAGCTGCAGTTTGGGCTCACCACTGACAACACCACTGTGGGTGAGCCCACGAGGCGCCAGACACCATCAGCAGCACTCTGCATGCTTCAGGCCATCCTGTGTCCCTCAAGTTATAGGGGACAACGTTGGTAGTCCCACTTTACAGGTGAAGAGTGCACGGTGTAGACTAGCCCTAACCATGTGGCCAGCGTACGGGGGGCTTGAAGTTGACCCAGTTAGGGCCTAGGATGTTCACCTTCGATTTATTTTTAATTTAGGGGAGCTGGGGAGATGGTTCAGTGGAATAAGCACTTCCCTGGCAAGTGCAAGGGCCTGAGTTCAATCCCCGGTTCCAAGTTAAAAAAAAAAAAAAAAAAAATATATAGGTATATTTTTAATTTAGACCAATTGCCATTGGCCCTATTTTACACAAGGCTTGGGAAAGAATAATTATACTCTTACATTTATAGCAGTCAGCCCCTGCAGTGCTCTGCTTCAGAACAGAAAGGAAAATGGATGCCCTCACCTTTTCCCTCTGCAGAGACAAACCAGTTAAGTGGCAGCAGGAGAATCAAGAAGCCTCCTCTCTTCCCTCGCCTGTGGATGATTTTTTAAGTTTGTGTCACACACCACTTAGTAAAGTGTGTGGCAAGCCGCTGGCATCAGCAACTCAGAGAGGCTGTCTTCACCAGACACACCCCTCACCAGCCCCAGAAGCCAGGCCTCCCTGAACTCCCTGCTGGCAAAAACTTCATTGTGACAGCTGCAGTTTCTCAGGGGTCTATTATGTGCCCCCTGCTTTGTTGTTTACTTGTTATTTCTAAACCCCACTTTACAGATAAAGGAAGTGAGGCTCAACAATATCTCATTGTGCCTGGAGATGTCACAAGGCTGAAGAGCTCTGGGGGTGGCATGCAAAGCCATGCAGGGCTCATTCTGTCCCCTGCCCCCAACTTGCCTATACTCAGGGAAGCGAGCTGAGCTGAGAAGTGCAGCCACCTTCCCCAGGACCTCAGGTCGGCTTCTGCCCAGCGGTTCAGGTACTGAAAGGAGAAAGGCAGGAAGGCTTCCAAATATGCTGGTCTTTAAGCAAAGTTTCCAAAGGGGGCAAGAGCAGCTTGTCCCAAAATCTGGAGACAGAAATCTGAATTCATTCTAAAGTCAACAAAAATTACCCCACCCCCACTGAGGAAGGACAAGCTTTGGCCAAGAACAGGTTTTATGTGAATTATTTTTTTGTGGGTGGAGAAGAGAAGAAAGAAGCCTTGGCCTGGGAGTCATATGTTGGCTCTTGCATAAGCAATCAGTTTTTATCACTCCCCAAAAGAACCCCCCCCAAAAAAAAAATCACTCCCCAAAGAGAACAGGGAAAAGAGTCATAAAGCTAACTGAGCTTATGTATGAAGTGAACTCGACCACACTGAACCCAAAACTCATAGCACCTTTGGGTCTACAACCATCTGGCCGCGCTTTAAGACTGGGTCCACCCAGGCAATTTACCACTTGGGAAAAACAAGAAAAGCTCCTGCAGGGAATTCCCAGGGGCAGGGTCATCATTCACAAGGTGCTGAAGACATCAGCTGGTTCCATTTTCCACTGCTCTGTTTCCAGGACTTTTTATGGTTACTAAAGGGTGGAGTTGCCATGTTCGAAACAGCAGCATGCTAAAGAGCCTGGGAACCGCCCACTTGCCCTCTGAGTTATGAATAATTCTGGGAAGCCCTCAGGCTCCAAAGAGAACTTTGTTCAAGAGTAACGATCAATCCCTAGGATTTTGTCCCTATTATTTACCGGTATGTAATAAAACTAGCCCCCCAACTTACTATTTATAAAAGAACTAGTTATGCTGCTCATAATCTTGTGGGTCAAAAACCTGGAAAGTTTCAGTTAGGTGGATGGACTCTTTACCAGGCACAGGTGGGGACAACAGGGAGCTGAGGAATCCACTTCTACCATGGCACCCTTAATGTTAACAGTTTCTCAGATCTATTCACGTGAGGACAGTGTGTCATGTTTACCTAAGGCTACCTATATGTCCAGGAGCCCTGCCATTGCCTGAATGAATGAAGCCTCCAGTCTAAAAAAGATGTCAAAATATTGAATCAAAAGTTTTTAAGCCATGTGTGGTGGTGCACAACTACAACCTCAATACTCTGGAAGTCAAAGGCAGGAGGGGTGAAAGTTAATGTCTAACCTAGGGAATATAACAGAATCCTATCTCAAAAATTTATTTTAAAGAGTAGGAGATGTAGCTCAATGTGCAGACTGGAGAGAGAGAGAGAGAGAGAGAGAGAGAGAGAGAGAGAGAGAGAGAGAGAGAGAAAGATAGATAGATAGA